AAATATGTATACACTAAATGACTATGTGGGCCCTCAAAAGCCCTAGTACGGCCGATGGTGTGGAGAATCCACTTTCCCTCGAAATGCTCTCACATGGCCACGCCTATGCTGTCAATACCTGGGAAGTCCTATTCACTTTCTTCTCTCATCGATGGTGTTGTCTATTAAATTGAGAGGACAAAAGTAAATGTACGGCGGTCTAACCGGGTTGGCGGATACGGAGGATCCATCTAGGAGAGTTGGAAAACAGTTATTCCAAACCAGTGGTGCACATGGGATTTAGGATTCTAAGGAAACAAATGACGTATAAACCTTTTGTTGATCACTGGGTGCCATGGAGCTGCATCTCCTTACGTCGCTCCGCTGCTTTGTGGATTAGACGTTTAGGTCAAAGACTCGGGGAGTGGACCCCTAAGAAAACCATATGCTTCGGTTTGGGCGCCCGGACTTTAGTTTTGATGAAACAAATAAAACCCTGTCCCAAACATTTGGAGAAAAGTCATCTCTATTTACTATCCGTTACCAGTGCTTGAAGATAACGAAAGAAGCAGATCACTGATTGAAAAATGCAGGAATTGTGAACCGAGAATGCGAGAGGTTTAGACATCATCGTTGTACTATGTGTTCCACAAAAGCACACAAAAAAAGTCATTGCAAAACCCGAAAACGCCGTGTGTGTTTCTCTCAAGATCAACGGGTAAGATACTCACTTACAGTTAGATACAGCTTTCGATATAACACTTATGAGCAGCCATACATGATTCGCCAAGTGGTCCAGTAATGTCTATTTTAGAGACATTTCCTTTAGTGGGTTCAATTCTCATTATTTCCGAAACACAATATACAAGCATTGACTTGCTCAGTTCATAGAAAGACGGTGTCTTGTTTAATGCTCATGAAATTGTTGCAGTACCAGCGCACAAAGTAACAGAAAATAACTAGAACAGTATAACGAACACAGTTGCACCAAACGAAGCTTATCATTCAGCGAAAAAAGTTTCTGATGAATCTGATTGTTTTACCAGATATAGGTTATCTTAATGACCTACAAATATGTCAGATGAATCAAATGATGTGAATGGGTTTTGTGGAGATTTTCAGAAATTTCACAGGTTGAAATCATGAGTCAACTGAAGCTAGATCACTATGGAAACTGTGGAAGCACTCGTCCTGGGTTCGAATCCCGCAGGGCGCGGGATTATGGATGCGCGTCGCTGAGGAGTCCCATACTAGGACGAAACGGCTGTCCAATGCTTCCAGGTTTTCCATGATGGTCTAGCTTCAACTGACTCTTGATTTCAACCTGTGAAATTTCTAAAATCTCCACAAAACCCATTCTGATAATAATCATCTGCTCACTAGTGACTGACTTCAAGAGGCATTTCCTGGAGTTCTAGTGAGAAGTCGTTTTCAGTGAAGTTCAACTAGGTCTGTTGTGAAATATCAACTCACTGAAGACAATGGTGTACGGTGGCGCAACTTCGTGGATTGGTTGAAGTTAGATATTACCACCGTTGGATGCCGGCTCAGTGGTTTTGTGGTTAAGTGCTTGCGCGCGAAACCAGTAGGTCCTAGGTTTGAATCCCGCAGGGTGCGGAATCGTGAATGCGCATTTATGAGGAGTCCCATACTAGGACGAAACGGCCGTCCAGTATTTCCAGGTTTTCCATGATGGTCTAGCTTCGATTGACTCATGATTTCAACCTGTGAAATCAAATGATGGTCAAAAATCTAATGCAATTTTGATAGATGCTGATTATTCTAGTGATCCACTATCTACTACTAATGAGATATTCAAGAAATGTGATGTCTTTCATCTTTACTATCTAGTCACTTTTAGTAGATTCTCTATTCAATGCAAGAAATATACTTTAAATAAAGTCATCACATTAATTGTAACTTGGGCATATGAGGATGTAATATTATTTCGTGAGGGCGGGGGGAATAATTTTAAGTCAGCAACTAAACTTTGAGTCTTCAAAAGATAAAAGAAGGGGAGGGATGATATAATGGGATGTATAGTTAAAATTACATTTTTTTATTCAATATTACTTCCGTTTACTAATTCAATTTGTGGTGATTATTCAATGTAGTGTTTGTTTCTGTTTTCCTGTCTATAATGTTATTCTGTATAATAGACGATATTCTTATATTTAATGGATATGAACTATGCTTAGAATGATATATATAGCATGTGATTTGTTATAACTATTGGCTGCTTTATGTGTATGTGATTCTGATGTGCACAGGGAAACAAAAAGCCCTGACAACCTACGAAAGTTATTTTTCGGGGACGTTATTTCATTTTATGCAAAGCTTATAAAACACTAACATTAATTTTTGTCCCTAATCTATTCTACAAAACATAAGCTTTCGTTCGATGTATGATTTATTGCCATACCCCTTTTCTGTTCCAAAGCTATTGTCATTTAAACATAATATTTTGGACCCTATTTTCTACGTTAATTCCCAGCTTTGGACATAATTGTATTCTTCCTAATTATGGTACGTTGTGGTCGGGTTAGTCACCTATATTTATTCATGTACCTTTTTACACTAATCCGAAATCAGGATATCAGGAATAGATCGAGTAGTGTTCCAGTTGTCTTGTGTTCTTTCATTCGCGTGCTTGTCAGCCAATCAGGTGATAAAATAGTTTTCTTCTCTACATCCCACTTTGAACTCACGCGTACTAGCCTCAAGGTAAGGTCGGTCAGCCTATCGCGCCAAGGTCTTAATCTGGATTAGATAGGTATCCTCAGCACCAAAAGTGGGTAGGCAAACCCAAAGGATATAACAGTTTCTATTCTAATTATTAATCAAAATGTGTGTACGACTAGAGTAATCGTCATCGTCGTCGTTGTCGTGGTGTTTTGGGGCTAATAAACCTTCATTTGTACCAGTTTTTGTGTTCTTACTTTAGTGTCATTGGAAGTGGTTTCTCGTTTTACAAGTATAAGTAATCAGTGATTCCGACATAACAATTAATGATGACCAGATATAACAATGAGTGTTCAATTATAAGATTTATCAACAGCTCTCATACAAATCGAATATTTTGTATGGTGCATCGTTGTACAAATGTCATTGACTTAGTTGGCGAGACCATAATTTGCAGACAAACCAATCAGGTATAAGAAAACAGGTCTACGATTTGGGCGCGAAGTTCACTTATCCATTTGACTAAATAGAGTTTTGGCATTATAGTTGTTGTCAATTTGTGATGAAAATCCCTGAAATCTAGTTGCCAACCTTACTCATCAACTGTAAATCATAATTCTAATTCCCACACCCTAGTCTTAGTTCTTAGATGGACACTCTTAAGGTCAGTTTCAGGTCGCTCAAAAGTTGTCCACAGTTTCACTGACTTAATGACAATTTCTGTAAATATGAATTAACAATACTTGTGAAATCATCTTTTGTGTATAAAAAGTTGGAGTATAAAATTTCAATAATCCCGCAAAACCTATGGTCAATAATTGATTAGATTTAAGTTACCATACCAATGAAATAAATATATGATCTTAACAATTGAATTCATGAGTCGATCTAAACTAAACTACCTGTTGTGACGTGTGACTGCAGATTAGAGTCAAGCGTTTTATCAATCACTTCAGTGACACAGAAAACACGTACGGACGGCCTAGAGTCTCGATTGGTCCCGCTTCCCTGTCTAGCCCAGCCAGTTGAGTCCAGAACACAAGTCACAGCCTTTGAGATATGAATCGTTATATTTCAAAGATACTCTGTTTATATACTAACCAAACAGACCACATCGTACCATAAAATAGAAAACAACATTTGTACAATATTTAACAAGTGAAATAAATACTGACCAATAGGGAGTGTACATTTAAAGTCCAAGGCCACCATTAGACTTAACATGATAATGATTGGTATATTTTTCTGCACATCCTAACACTACCATTGAAAACCTGAAAGCATTAGATGGTCGTTTCGTCTCAGTATCAGACTTTTCAGTGATGGTCTAGTTTGGAATGATTTGTGACTTTAACTGTTAAAATACTAAAATATATGATCGTCTACAAGATCAAAATACATGTTCATTATACATTATACAATGTGTCAACGTTCAATTACCAGATACGGTACATCAGTTTATATCAATGACTGATCTCAACTGGAAATCCATTATAAATAGGAGAGGACTATACATATCTCATTCTAATATGACATATCTCAATGCTAAATGTTCACAATCTCATTAAAGATTGAATCTAGCGTATTTAGAACAAGATGGGGGAGATTTCTTTATAACATAATCATTCAATACTTCTCATTTACAACTTTTATCGATTTATTATCAAGTCATTGTTACCATGGCATTAATTTCTTTGATAAACTGTTATTTTACTGCCTTTTACTCCATGAAATAATCGTTAATAGTTCGAAAAAGAAAAGAACTTTGTTTTTATCTCTCATCAAATACAGAGAAAAAAAAAGGGGTCACGTCAATTTGACCATGTCAGTAAAATAGCAGAAGAAGAAGAAGGAGAAGAAGAAGAAGAAGAAGAAGAGAGGTGAATAAAGACAGTTAGTTTATTGATAAAATGAAATGGAATTCAAAGCTGACAGGATTAGTGATCTGATAACGAAACATAAACTATAGAATAAGATCATGCAGATTGAGATTATTAAAGTAATATATATATACTTGTATCTTCCCATTGTTATTTAGAACTGTAAGTAGATCCAACTGACGAATCTCAAATAGGACGAAACGCGCGAATTCCTGAATTCCACTACTAATCACTATCTATCTTTGTTAATAAAAACTAGATATAACATTTATATATTTATAATTTACTAGAATATCAATTTAGTTTATCAATTGAGATGATTTTAGTAAGTTAGTAGGTTAAGTTCAATGAGGTTGATGATAACAACTTAAAAGTTATAGTGTATTACATATCTAAGATGATGATGATGATGATGATACTATCTCTTTTATTACTATTTATCACTGTCATAATTAGAAAATGTTGCATTTGTTAAAGAATTTACTCACCCATGACGATGATGATTTGGATGATGATGATTCGGATGATGAAGATGCTTTGGATGATGATGATGATGTTGATTTGGATGATGATGATGATGATGATTTGGATGATGATGATGAGGAGGCTTTGGATGATGATGATGTTGATTTGGATGATGATGATGATGATGATTTGGATGATGATGAGGAGGAGGCTTTGGATGATGATGATGATGATGATGATGCTTTGGATGATGATGATGAGGAGGAGGAGGAGGCTTTGGATGATGATGATGATGATGGTTTGGATAATGATGATGATGAGTGTGAAATAGATTAACGATACAAGATAAAATATTCTATCAATTTAATGTGTAATTATGAAAGACAAAAGTCTTCAGAAAGTTTAGTCTTGTATGACTGTATGTAGCAAAAATAAGTGAGGGACACTAAAGTGATCTTGTGAATGTGAACTTACTAATTAGGACTAAATGAACGTTTAGTATCAGAAGGGGTATTGTGGAGATTGTAGCAATTTCAATGGTTGAGATCATGAGTCAATTGAAGCTAGATTACCAATGGAAAACTTGGAAACACTAAACGGTCGTTTCATCCTGAGTTCGAATTTCATGAGGCGAGATTGTGAATGAGCACCACTGAAGAGTACCACAATAGGATGAAACGGCCGTCCAGTGCTTCCAAGTTTTCCATGGTTGTCTAATTTCAATTGACTCATGATCTTAACCCCCTTCTGATAACAATTTGAAAACATTTATTAATAATATTTCAAAAAATTATACATTCTGTTATTTACGTTTTAAGGAACTGAAAGATGAAGAACACCAACAACCATCATAATCGAAGTACAAGTATTTATAAAGAGTTTTCTACACAAGCTACTTAATATCCGTTGATAGGATATCATCAGCAACAGCCTACTGTGACAGAGAACAAACCAACTTTCAGATGAAAACGAAATTAGGAGAAGACTTTGAAAATGGATAGAACACACATTGAGGAAATCATCAAACTATATCACTAGAAAAGCGCTAGATTGGAATCCTGAAAGGAAACGAAAAAGAAGATGGCCAAAGAATATACTACGTTGAGAATCGGAAGCAGACATGAAAAGGATCAATAGCAACTGGAAAGGACTGGAAAGAATTGCCCAGGACAGGGTTGGATGGAGAATGCTGGTGTTCGGCCTATGCTCCTCGACGAGGTGTTACAAGCGTAAGTAAGTAAGTAAGTAATTAAGTAATTTACACTGCTTGTATAATAACTTAATCATATTACATATTTTTGATTGGTTAAAGGGAATGGAAATTTTCTTAAGGTCATTCACCAATCACTCAAATTTGTCCTAATTGCCAAACTTTATCAGCAACTGCTTTGAAGCTAACATGACCCTGTGCAACAGTCTAATTCATTAAAATACAGATTTATATGGTTAAGACAGCTATAGTATGTTTGTTCAGCTCTAAAGTCAAATTATTTTTCAAATAGCTTCTGACTAACATATAACAAGTTTCAGTTATTTTGATCAATATCATGAATGAATTAATGTTAGACCAGCATTGAAAACCTGGAAGCACTGGATGGTGGTTTCGTTCTATTGTGGGACTCCTAAGCAGCGCGCATCCACAATTCAACCTAGGGCTTTTGGTCTTGCGTGCAAATGCCTTACTTCTAAACTTCAACGAATCCAAGAAATTGTGCGACCATCTCTTATTGTACTGAGGTAGATATCTATCTCTACTCGACACGGTTAATGGTTAAATCTATGGAATGTTTACTTTTTCTTACAAAGATTTTAGTCGAACAGTTACTTAAACAGTGATCTTGAGTGCTGTTAGAGGTATGAGGGCGGAACCAGTAGGTCCTGGGTTCGAATCTCGCAGGGGGCGAGGTCATGGGTGCGCACTGCTGAGAAGTCCCACAGTAGGACGAAATGGCCGTTTAATGCTTCCAGGTTTTCCATGGTGATCTAGCTTCAACTGACTCATGATCTTAACCATTGAAATTAATAAAGATTAGTTAACAATAAACTTGTCAGTCAGTTTAGCCGCCTAGATGATACTGTAGTGAACGAGAATATAAGTGAGGACAATAAAATATAAAATTAGAAAATCTCTTAGTAAAATCTGAGAACCATACAGTAAATAATTCATTTGCAAAATGTCAATCAATCGTCTCAGACTTCATTGTTCCTTTATTTCTGCACTGATCATTCACTGTTCTCGTTCTTTTTTCTTTGATCTTCTTAATCTTTTGGTGCCAGACACTTCACTGTCGATTCATGATACATACTACTTATACCCGTCGACATCAGTAGCACACACCACATTACAAATTATGGTGTCAAATGAGATTTATTCGGGTTTAATTTTTTAATTATGTAAACACGTGATTTATGGATTAGATTAGTGAGAGTGTAGTCCTACTCACTGACTTCTCGCAGCATTACTATTGTTTACGAAATCGAGAGGATGAAAACGAATGTCTGACTTTTTAAATGGGTTGATGATAGATATGGATGATTCACTTAGGGGAGTTGAAATACCCTGATTAGAAAACATTGGTACACATGGGCTCCAGGATCCTGAAACAAAAAAAAATGGCGTATCAATCAATTGTTGACCACCGGCTTCTATAAGACTGCATCTACTTACGTTGCTTCACTTCTTTGTGGATTAAACCTTTTGGTCAAAAGATCTGAGTATGCCACCCTAGTAAAACTACCTGCTTTAATTTGGGCACCTGGTCAATATCACAGCCCTCACACAAATCAAGTAACTTTTGCATGGCGCATATGTATTCAGTACCACTTTATATCAATATTTATATCTTCAAATACATAAATAACATTCATCAAAATCAAATACTATAGAAGATATTCAGCATATATACCATTAGTCAGCATCGTGCATGCATGAAAGACCTCCACTTTTTTGAATGATCAAGCATATGACTACTATCGATGATAACCGTTTTCTTTTCAACGACTATCATTGTCCTTCAACTACAAGATTGGAAGTTATCCTTATCCTATTGATCATAATTGTCCCATTTATTATTATTATTATAGAAGAGTGAGTCTCTATAGATTAACTAAGTAAATCTATACTTATGATGTTAGAAACAAAAGAGTCGAATCAAAACAAGTGAAAACATTTTTAAAAAAAAATAAACAATAAATAACTATATAGCAACATATTACTTACAATGACCTTGAGGAAACAAATCAATATTACTAGGGTATGTTTATGAGTAAAAGTACTATTATTATTATTATCAGAATGGGTTTTGTGAAGATTTTTAAAAATTTCACTGGTTGAAATCATAAGTCATTTGAAGCTAGACTGACTTCAGGAGACACTCCTGAAGTTCTAGTGAGAAGTCGTTTTCAGTGAAGTTCAACTAGGTCTGTTGTGTGATAAGAACTCATTGAAGACAATGGTGTACGGTGGTGCAACTTTGTGGATTAATTGAAGTTAGATATTAACACCGTTGGATGCTAGCCGGCTCAGTGGTTTGATGGTTAAGTGCTGTCGCGCGAAACCAGTAGGTCATGGGTTTGAATCCCGCAGGGTGTGGGATCATGGATGCGCACTGCTAAGGAGCCCCGTACCAGGACGAAACGACCGTCCAGTGCTTCCAGGTTTTTCATGGTGGTCTAGCTTCAATTGACTCATGATTTCAACCAGTGAAAGGTACTATTTATGTTTTGAATACACAAGAACAACTTAAATGTTAACCATTCGCCTTAAAAAACGAATTACTTATACTAATACTAGTACTACTGTGATGTGTGCTACTTATATTGACGTAAGTAGTAGTGAAGGTCTGACAGGAGAGAGACAAGAGGATCGAATGCAATTTGTATGAAAATGGAAGAACAATCAATTCTGAGTCATTATGAGACAACTGATGGACAATTTGCGAATTACGTATTTAAATTTTATTAACAAGTCCTGTAATGTTGTGTCAAATACATTCGATTGTTCCCCACTGGTATTCTTGTTCACTACACTACTACTGTGATGTGTTCTACTGATGTCGACAGAGCTATAAGTAGTATGTATCATTAATCGAAAATGAAATATTTCACGTCAGAACGTTAAGAAGCTCGAAGGGATGAGGATGAGAAGAGAGAATGATTAGTGTAGAAACAAAGTAATAATAAAATGTGAGACAAATGATGGATATTTTTGCAAATGAAGTATTTATTATATGATTCTCAGATTTTACTGAGATTCTGTAATTTTATGTTGAAATATATCCGATTGTCCCCATTGGTGTCCTTGTTCATTATACTTCCATGACTATACACACAGCCAGTATCGCAACTACTCAAATTACTACTAACAATAATACGATCACTCACACTACTGCTATAGTGTATACTACTTATGCTGACGGATATAAGTAGTACGTAGATGCAATCGGAAGTAGAATACTTGTCAGCAGAATATTGAATTGAAGAGAACAGGAAGAGGAACAGAGAGCAATTGTAATAACAACACGACTATAAGAATCGTAAAGCATATACAGAACAATTGAAGGAAGATGTTCAATTATTGTATTTCACGTATGATCTTCATATTTTACTAAAGTACTCTGTGATTTTGATTTAACAACAAATTGGTTTGTCATACTACAACGAATACAAAGATTGTTTTCTTGCTTAATCTCACTCGTAATGACCATGTTCATGAAATGTTAACAGTATAAGAAATGACGATGAGACTGTTATGTATAGATGACTTTTGAGCGATGCCAAAGTGAATTTGAGAGGGTCTACCTACTTCCTAGGGTTAAATGAGGTTTGTAAAGCAGTTTGAAGAATAAGAATTATGATTCATGTTTGATAGTTAGAGTTAAGAATTAGATTTAGGAGGTTTTCATCACGAACTGACATCAGCTGAAACGCAGTTTGGTCAAATAGATGAGTGAATTTCGCGCTAAAATCCAACACCCATTATCTTTAATCTGATTAGTTCGTTCATAAATTATAGTCTCACTTATTAATCTACACTGAGTTGTATTTTGATCATTGTTTCATTGTATCTCTTTATATATAGTTGTGTCTTTTAGCTACAACATTTACATGTAAATTGATAAACACAGTGGAATATGATGTTACTGTTTATATGATAAGTGGAATTGTTTTACTAAAGCATGAATTTTGTTGTTATTTGTGTTTTTCATGACGTTCTACCAAGAAGCTGTGATCAGTAGGGTTCAATCTGTGTCAGACAGAGACAGGTATCTGTCTCAGACAATGGATAAATGGTTGTGCAAGATCATGGGTCAATGAAAGTTAGACATTAAACTATA